AGGCTGGAGGTGAGTGGTAACAGCGGTGATCCCTGCTGGGAGAGACGTCCGTGCTGCACTCGGGAATTAGCTGTCGGGTAGCACTGAGCTGGAGCTGCGTGCCAGGGCTGCGGTTTATAGCCTGAGGTATACCCAGCAGTGTAGCTGGTTAATACCAGCAAGTTAATTTAAGGAGGGAAAGATTTGATACTTGCCAGTATCTACTACATGCTGGTAGAAATGCCTTGAAGAAAGCAATGCACCAAGTGGAACAGTTATGATGATACCTTCATGGTTTTGCTAGGTATTTTTCAGCCCACAGAGCCAGGCGCCGAAGTGCTTTGCAGGTTGCTACTGTGTATGTACATGTGTGTGTGTATGTATGTGTACATATATATATATATATATATAAAAACACACAGAAAAGTTTCCTCCGAGCTGAGAGCTGGCATGCATACATAATGTTTCGATGCTCTTACAGAGGTTCTGAACAGAATAGTTACAAAATAACTATTTTGAGTGATTTTTGGTTAAAATTCTAGTTGTGTTTTTGAAAAACAGTTTTTCAAAAGTCTTTGAAAAAAATTCCAGTGGGGGAGATGGAAATGAAACATCTGAGGTGCTTCTAGTTTTAGTGAGAGCTTGTTTCTGACTTTCCCTCAAAACAAAAAATTGCAGAATTGGGACCCTAAACTAGGCTGGTGCATAATTTTATGGCAGAATCTGAAAGTCAGGATTACTTTCATGTAGCAATAGCAGAGAAAGGATTAAATTTCCATGTGAGGAGTTAAAAATCAAGTTCTGTCCATGGTTGGGGTGGGTTTTTTTTGTTGGTTGTTTTTGGTTTTTTTCTTTCTCCCCTCTCAAACTACCTTGTATAGTATATGAGTAATTAGACCTGATCCAAACCTTAGCAGTTTTCTGAGAGTCCTTCCCACTTCGGATAGTATCAGGCCCCAGAGCTCCCACAGTGCAGGGTTCTGCACCGTGGCCCGTTCAGCCTCTCCAACCCATGTCACTAGTCAGGACAAAATGGGAGAGAGAACAGATTCTCCTTCTCTGAAGGAGTCACAGGCCTTCTGTTTCTTCTTTCTGCCGCTGACTGTGCAAGTAGAAGAGGTGGGTCAGGAAACAAAGTGCAACTGTCTGGAAGAGTGGCAGCAGATATCAGGTAGGGGAAAGGTGAGGCAGGAAGCAAAGTGGAGTGGCTAGCGATTTTCTGAGAGGAATGGAGAGCTCTCCCTGCTTACAGCAGAAGAAAATCCTGTGAGAGAAAGCAGGTGTTGTTTTCCCTGTCAACTGTACTGTTTGTCATATTGGTGGAGGATCCAAGAAAGAGTAGACATCTCTATTTTTTCAGCCTTCCTTGTGCATTTCAGTTTCTCATGCTCTTGTTCAAAGAGCAAGTGTGCCAAAGCTTCACCGAGGCAGTAATGATCTTTTTGTGTGCTGAATCACACTGTAATAGGCAAAACTCTGAATTTGTGGTAGTAAGCCAGATTTGACTGATGTTTATCTTTGCTGTTGTTTTGTTACTGCAGACCCTGGAGGCACAGTACAAACATACACAGTAGCTGCCATGAAGGACCACTTACAACAATCATTAAAGCTGTAAGGAACACTTTAAAACAAGGGATTTCATCAGAAGGTCCTTGGTGACACAATTTTTTATAACCCTTCTAGGAACACAGGAATTGAGAACACGCAGGTCTGGGAACACACAGCCATTCAGTAGTAGTCATTTACTGGGGACAGGCAAACAACAGAAGTGGCATTGAACTGTTAACTGCTGATCAGCGTACAGAAGAATGAGTTCTGAAACTAAACCCTGACTCCTTTGTGTTGGTAGAAGAATTTGTACTTGAGAGCTCTTTTCCTTCATTGAACTTGATGATACTCTCACTGGAAAGTGGTTGTCTCTGTGCTTTTCAGAGCCTGTTGTCCTGGAAATAGCTGATTTCACAAATTCAGAACTAATTCTGGCCTCAGAGTAGCAGTCCTTTCATACTAGCTTTTTTCCCTGCTGCTCCTGGAGCAGAGCCTGTGTGGATGGAAGGAGATCTGTGCCAGGGTTGTAGCGTGCTGCTAGCCACCAAGTGAGAACAGTGTGCCACACTGTGCAGAGATGCTCACATATGAGAGATGTCCCCAGTATAAACTAAGCCACCTTCATGGATTGCTTTAATTTACAGTCTGTGACCACCTTTTCCCCTGTCACAGCCTGATGGCTAGTGCTCATCAGTAGGCCCAAAATGGAGGGAAACGTTTTATACTGGGCTTGTCCTTTGTTCCATGTGGCACAGGGATAACGGCCAGGTATTATGACTTGTGTTAGCAACTGGAGTCATGCGAAGCCTCCAGGATTGGCACTGGAAACTGCAGATTTGGTATAGTCAGAGCTGTGTTTTGTTCAAGAAGATCACAACTGGCAGGGCTGGAAAGCAGCTACGTAATCTTTTTGGCCTGTGCTCTTGTTCAGACAATGCCAAATTACAGTGGATTACCCCATTCCTGCATAAGGGAGGGAATCCTTTAGCATGGTTCCCCTGCCAGCACTGTGTACTGCAACAGCGTTTGCCTACAGCAGACTAATTTACTTTCCATGTACTTTGTGTGGGCTGGCTTATAACAAACAGCCTTGACAACTTAGTCTTGGGGGCTGATAGTTGTAGCAAGGATAATCTCGCACCAACCAGGCCAGGGAGATGAGTCAGGTCTGCAGCAAATCATATAGAAAGCAATAAAAATTAAAAAAAAAATGAAATTATAATGAAAGGTTGGACTTTCCCAGCTTTGCAGTCTGCACTGTTACTTATTTTCTGATATGAATAGCATTTCAGATTACATTTATGTTTAACTTTAAAAAAATCTAGTGAACCTGTCCTCTGATGAGTCAGTCTCCACAGCAGGGATGAGAGGCTGGAAGCCCTGTAGTAGGTGTATATGGTGGCCAGGCAGGGAGGGAGCACAGTACAGCGAAGCTGACGCACTTACAGGGGCGTTGAGCACAGGACCTCGCTAGAAACCCTCTGTCAAGGCTGGGCCCGTGTGCGATAGTGGGAGCCAGGAGCAGCTGGGCAGTGGGTCACTGGCTGCCGAGTGGCAGCGCTCCTGCCGGGGGCTGGCACCTGGAAGGGTACCCCCCGTGCTGGGCCTGCCGGAGGGGCAGGTGTGGGAGCGGGTGAGCCTGGCTGAGAGCCGGCCGAGCGCGGGGCGGTCACAGCGTGCGCGGCCGGTCAGCTGGAAGCGGCGTGCGGGGCGAGCGCTGGGCGCTGATGGTCACGGAAAGCGGAGCTTTCCTGCAGCTTCCCAGGTTTAAGCGCTTGTGTAAGTCCTGGGGAAGGCACAGGCTGAAGGACCGTGCTGAGCAGGGATGCTGGTTACCTTTTCAAGAACATTTTGTGTATCCTTCTCAAAGGATTTCTTACGGAAAATTGAAGCAAAATATCTCCAGTCTGCCAGGGATATTTACAGTTAACTTAATGGAAAGTTCCATGAGAGATCCCATTATTTTTCCTAAAGCACCAGGCTGCTATTTGCACTTCTATTATTATTACTGTTATTACAACATTATTCATAAGTCCCAGGCATAACTAGTAAAAAAATATTTGAAAAAACAGCTATGACAACAGAGAAGGTAGAAATTATGTAGCTAGGAAGACAACCATTCTCCTGTAATTTACAAAAAAAAGCCATGATCTATTTTCACTTGCTGTTTAGTATTCAGAGGCCTGATCTAACAACTAGTGGAGTTTGTGGAAACACCTCTGATTTCAGAAGGAGCTTGACCAGGCCTGTAAATGCATGCTTCAGCCGGGAAAACATCTGAGGACCATGATATCTTCTATCAAAATAAATAAAGTAACTTTTTCTCACAGTATGAAATTAAGTGAGAAAAAAGTCACTACTAGTAAATTCTGCAGTTCAGTCACAAGCCTTCCAAAACCTGAAGTACTGAAAAGGCTCTGATTTGATGATGGCACTCTGCAAGCTCTATCTTTTGAGTAAAAGTTGAAGGTTACATACAGTACTGAACTATGCCCGATGCTAGTGACAAAGTCCTTTGTATGGCTCTTCCCAAGAGGCATACTTACCTAGCTATTCCTCAGGGCTAAGATGTAATCTTTCAGGGTTGCTTGTCACAAATTTGTCCTCATGTCATACATTCATCCCGAGTGTGATTAAGGATGTGCAGAGCAAGTCCTTCTGCAGACAAATGGTGTGATCCTTGCTACATGAGGGGTGTCCCATTTTAATTGTCAGGACAGATGTGATTTTCATTTCCCTCCATTATTGGCCTGCGCCCATAATCTGCGGCTCTTACATTCTGCAGCCACGTCTCACGTCTGAGGGTGAAGACAGGGATATCCATCTTGAAGAGTGATTGTTGAGCCATTGCCAGTGCTTCCCTCTCGGAACTGCCGTGCTCATTTTAAGTAGCGGCCCTCCATCTACTATAAAGCTTGCACAAAGGTGGCACGTGTGGAATATGTAGCTAACTTAACAACAAGCCATTTCTGGAGCGGTATCAAAGTCTTGCAGTGCCTGTGAATTATCACTTAGGCAAATTTTAGAGCCTCAGGTTGCATCCTTAAACTGTTTATTTTATTGCACTGTCGTCGTAACTGTAGTGCCTAGGAGAACTTTAAACTCGCAGGTACTTTAAACTTCAGATGAAAATCACAAGGGAGTATCGTTTTTCTGGATAGACTCTAAGCACACTAATAACTTGTGCCCAGAATCTGTTTGCCACGCTGTAGCTGCCACCCAGAGCTCTGTGCTGTACTCACTGCACAGATGAATATCTTGCCCTTAGCAAGTGAGGAGACAAGAAGCACCATCGGCAGCCTGGAGATGCTGACATTTTCCCCTCCCTTGTGTAACTTCTCCTGAAGCCAGCGTTTGAACTGAAGGCTGATGGAAAAGGTGTTTTTCTGGCAATGGAGTACTTTTTCTGAGAATACCAAGTGGATCTGAATGAAATAAAAGACAGGAGACTGAAGAGAGAAAATGAGGACCACAAAATGCTGCTTCTCCAGCAAAGCTTTTCTTTAATTACTACCAGAGTATTTTGTAAGCTAATTGAAAATGGTGGCACAGTGCCGGAGGTTACGTCATTTCAGGTGCATCCTCATGCTCCCATTGTCATACCCTGTGCTGGCACTGTGACCAGGCTGCAGCTGGTGCGATAGGCTGTTCTGTCCCTCTCCGGGAGGGAGAAGTGCTTGTGGTGAGAGAGCCTCTGTCAAGGAGGAGCAGAAAGCACCCGAGTTCTGTCTTTTATAAGGGACTCTTCTTGGCGGGTTTACTTTCCACTGAAATATTTCCAAAATATTCAATTTTTTTTCAGGCATTTATGATGGGGGGGGTGGGGTGGTGAAATATCGGCATTTTACCAAAGATCAAACACATTTCTTAAGACTTTCCTTTAAATGAAATCCCATTCTTTCATTAAAAAAAGGGTTTGATGGAAAAATTTTCTTGCAGATTTAGCTGAGTTTTGTGGGATATGCTCTGTCCCTTCTGCAGAGTAGTGCCAAGGTCCTGCACCCACCGGAGATGGGATTTCAGGCAGGTGTGTGTTGAAAAACAATTTTGTGTGGCAAGGCCTGTCACAAGTGCACCCTTCCTCAGTTTCCTCCAAATAAGGTCTCAGACCCCCCCTGTATAGGCTAGGAGTCACTGGGGTATCAAGGCATCCAACAAAACAAACTGAAAAAGAATGCCCACAACACACACGGCATCGGTTACTTTTTATCTAGGTTGGTTTGTCAGTCACAGCAGCTTTTTCAGCATGATGACAAGTCTGGTAATTTTGGCACTCTGGGGCGTTTTCTTTCTTTTAGCGTGGAAGGAATGGAGTTGGGGCCTTTTGTGGTAGGTGCACAGATGTCGTGCTGTCATTTAAAAGTAATACCTCACTCAAACAAATTGTCTTGGTAAGAATCCGTGTTTGCTTTTGTTTTGAGGTGAAGGAAGCTTCGCATGAACCACAGATGGTGTTTACAGCTCGTCATGCAGCTATCACTTTCCAGACAGATGGAGAAACATGGAGAGAACAGAAAGAGAAAAAGGCAGCTCTGATGGTTGGCATCTTAATTGGAGTTTTTGTACTGTGCTGGATCCCTTTCTTCATTACTGAATTAATAAGTCCCCTCTGTTCCTGCAACATCCCACCCATCTGGAAAAGCATCTTTCTTTGGCTTGGCTACTCCAATTCTTTCTTTAATCCTCTCATTTACACAGCATTTAACAAAAATTACAACAATGCCTTCAAGAACCTTTTTGTAAAGCAGAGATAAAAGGGGACACAGAGGAGAAAATGATTCCTTTGTGGCATAATACAGGGATTTCTTGAGGGAAACATGCTTGTGATATGTACAGTTTTCATGCGCAAGAGCTGCTTGAGGGATTTAGAAGCAGTGAAAAAGAAGATGGATATAAACCTACTGACAGTTTACAGTTCCCCTTTGGCGATAGATATACATGCTGCTCCAGGGTTTGGCAAAGAAGATCAAAGCCGTGAATACCTCCTGTCGGCTCTTTGAATCAACACCTGTTCAGGTCTGCAAGCGAAGCGCTGTGTGTGTCTAACACCACGACTGTCAAATCCGACTGGACTGATCTCATCCAGCCAGCTACAGGTGCCATTCTGTACCTCGCTCATCATTAGCAAAGGCACCGGTGGGAACTGCTAATTGAGCAACACTGAACTGTTTGTGAGATGGGCAGGATGTTGGCTTCGTTTTTGAGATGTACTTGGAAGGGAATAAACATGCTGTATTCAATCAGTTGTTGAATTGATCTGAAATGAAAAGGGATGTCTAAGCAGCTCAAAAGCACACCCGAATGGGATTGAAGGGCTGGGTGCTCTCTAGCCAGCAGCAGTCCTTGACGGGAAGGCTTGGTGAAATGCAGGTCGGTTATGTCCCCTGGGGTGAGGTGACATTTTAGAGCCAAGTGTAAAATTGTTCCGAGTGACTGAGAATGTGCTCGCACCGCTTGCACAGGAGGAGGACCTAGCATGGAGTTTTCACCTGCATTGTGCTCCCTCACCCTGCAGGGCTCAGGCTCTCCCTGTCGTCTGAAACCGTGGTGAGCTCAAGGTCGACACCCGGTACCTCCAAGGGAAGGGGCACTGTATGAATTATTATTTCATGCTGCCGTAAAACTAAGCACGCATTTGTGTTACAAACACCAAACGTGTCGTGTTCAGTCACCAGGTTTGCTGGCAGCAACACATGTCTGCTTGGCAGTGGTCGCTGGGTATCGGCACTCCGCTTTTTGGGGTCCTTGCACCATGGATGTTGTGCTCATCGCCCTACCTGAGTGAAGTCCACTGTTTGTCAGCTTGCATCAGGTCTAAGTGACTCCAGAAACTCCAAAGTGACTCAAAACCAAGCCTTAAAGTGTTTTTCCAAGATCTAACAAACACCCAACAATATATACACAAAAAAGAATTAAAAGATAAGCATTTCCATGCAGACTGCCAAGTCTCTCTCTCTCTCTAGTGGGTTTTACTTCCTCCCCTTCCTTGAGGGGGCGATGCTGACAGCATCTCTGAGCATTTCTAGTGTGGCAGCTTTTTTATTGACAAGGAGTCCCAGCACCCTCTCGCATGTCCTCCTAAACTTTGTTTAGGTGCTGTAAGGGCAAAACCTCATAGCTCTGGTGAGACTGGGCAACATCACAACTCCTTTTGAAGCTGAGGTTTAGCCTTTTACATTGCCTTACTCTGCCAGTTTTGTGTTTTCACTGCTTAAGCAACCCTTTGATTCAAAGCGCACCCTCGGGCAAACAACACAAAACTGCACAGAATGACGAAATCACAAATTTCCACTCTGGCACTATATGCCACTGGCATCTTGATCTCATTGCAGTGCGTCACATCCGGCCTCATCTCGGACAGTTACCAAGCTGCCGGCCGTCGCATCGATGCAAGCGCTGACCACAAAGCTCCTGCCAAAGCCTTGGTATCCCGGCAGCCCCTCGCAGGCGATGGCAGCTGGGTGCATTTCCATCTGTTAGGGCCTGACATACGCAGCAGCCATGTCAGAGCGGTATCAGCGAGTAGCTTGTGCAGTTTGAAAAACAAAGGAATGATTCAGCCTTTACTTGCCTAACTTTAAAGCAGAGTTTACCGCAGGATAGCCTGAAATGATGCAGGTACCTGGTGATGTCAAACCGGGCTTAATGTCAGGTATATGGGCTACTTAGACCGAGGCAAGTTCCAGCTCCTGAGTGATTTAAATACATGCCGTCAAAGCACACATTCCTCCAGTTCCTAAGGGCCTCATCTCTCTAGCAGAGCGTATGGTGAGATCAGGCACTGCTGTACCTCACACCCTGCCGTACTGTGAAATTCCAGTGTGACCTCCTGTGTCTGCAGCCACAGCCACCTGTGTATCTTCTGTACCTGCAGAGGATGCTTCTCTCAATTTCAGTGGGAATTAAGAAATTTTAATAACCTAGAATTTCAAAGAGTTGTTAGATAGTGGGTCAGACTTCTAAATGCCAACTTAAGTAACTCTTTCCAAATCCCAATTTGCCTGCATATGGAATAGCTGCCGTTCAAACAGCGTTCGGAGGCTTAATTAAACCAGAAGGCAGACACGTATCTAAAAGTTCCTCAAAGCTGCAGGCCTTACTCGGAACCAGTGATGAATTTTTCAAGTGAATTGAATTTTTCATGTAAGATAGTCACTGCTCTAAAAACCGTAAAAGCCACACAGATGACATGACGGTAGAAGATGAAGCCATCATCTTCAGCTGGTTGTTGAAAAGCATACAGATCTGCTGCGTGTGGCCACGCCTGAAGTTTCCATAATCACGCTTTGGCCAAATTCTAGTGCCGGTATCCCACTGGCCTGGTAAGATGAGCAGTTACTGGCTGCAGATCTAACACCGACCCTGCTGCACTGAAGTTAAGGCCCATCACAGTCGGTGGCTGCAGCAGCAGCAGCGATGCTTGTTCCAACTGGGTGTCCCAGCTGACTGGACGTCCTGTGGTGCCGGAACCCTTCCAAGAAGCGACGTAGATATTGGGGTATGTTTTACCATGGCTTGGCGTCTGGGGTATGAGGAACTCCATAAAGCCAGAAGAGGACTGTGCAGTACGGCGCAGCCGCACGCCGCACTGGTATCCCTGCGAACGCTGAAGGGGCAGCAGGGCTGTCTCCAGCTGGCTTGGGAGCCGGTAGCAGGGCTGCCGATGGAGCACACAGTGTAGCTCTCCACCTCCTCAAAGATGAATTTAGCTTCCTCAGGAGGTGAACCTGAGCCTCTGTAATCTTACTGTGAGAAGTTCTCAAGATAACTAGCTCAGTGCTCTGCCCACCCAAGCATCTGTGACAGCAGTGAGTTGTCACAGAATGACAGGCTTCCACCGACAGCAGCCTGGCTTCAGACTCACCCAGAGGCGACGACAAACAAGCGGAGCTGTCATTTCGCTGCAGTGCGGTTTTAGAAAGCTCTTAACAAAATCAGCTGCCCACGCTGGCTCTGTGCAGGGCTGCATTTAGAAGAGCAGCTGCACAGAGTCAAAATTTAAAATACTTTTAAAATTTTTTTAAAAAACAAAGTTTTTAATCATATGGAATCTGAGCTTAGTGCGGGGGAAAGAAATGCATTATCTGGGAGTTTGGCCCATCCTGCTGGATGCTGCTTCCTGCTTAAAGCCAGAAAAGGCATTACCATCCCCTAGCCCTCTGCATGGCAGGCACGGCGTTGTACCCACTGATTTGTGTGCCAAATCCAGTCACTTGGTGCAATGGGAGCACAACTGTTGGATAGGCATCAGCCTTGATTAAAAAAAAAGTTGGAACCGTGGATAATTTTCTACCTCCCTTGGTACTATCTTTCTGTGATTAATTACTCTCATTATTAAAACTTACAACTTCATTTTAATTGAAAAAAAGAGGAAAGAGTAAGATCAGGCATGCGAGCATTCCTCTTTCTGGCACTTCAAGCATTAGAGCTTACGTCTTGCGTTATTGCTTTGTTATCCTTGGCTTCAAGACAGACCAAAGAAAATATGGAAAATACAACTCCCCTGCCAACTAACTTAAATGACACAGTAGCTTGAATATCGAAATAGGAAAAGAAAATAAAAATCAGCTATTCTAAAGAAACATTATTTGACAGCGCCTAGACATACGGTCATCTGTTTCCCCAAACAGAAGTTGCCAATTTGGAGTACACCAGTCATCGCTGCTGGTACACAGCGGAGTACGAGGTTTATCTCCTGACACTGTGCTCCTAGAAAAACTCACTGAGGCTATTGCTCAGCAGAGGCATTGCTCTCTCCTGCAGCAAGGCTCCGAGAACCCTGCAGCTGTATTGAACTTAAGGTTTGTTTCGCTGTTGGAATCCACAGAGTGTGCAGAAATCAGAGAATGTGAACAGAAAACGCCAGTAACGTTCTGTGCTCCTCCTCGCTCCACGAAACCCACCTCCATGCTACAGCTTCCCCAATGAAAGCTCTTCAGTAATATATGACTGTACCCAGGAGCTCCTGGTCTTTCAGTCATACTTCAGTCTCTCCTTCGAAACTAGCTGGTTTACAGAATGCCCAAGCCCTTCCTACACGAAGACCGATGCAAAAAGAGATGGTTTGGCCCCGAGAACACACGTTGACGAACCCCTGTGAGCAGCACCTCATCAGCTGGGCCACACCACAGTCACCGAGACACCGGGTATGCGCAGCGGCTGGTGACAGGAGCATGCTGCTGGTGGGAAGCGGCCACCAACCCCGCCCCAAGAGCTGCTGAAGAGGCAGGGTCTGCCCCGAGCGCCAGGCACCAGAGCCCGAGCAGCCCTGATGCCAGCCGGCTCAGCTCGCACAGGCTGCAGCCGGAGCTGTGCTGACACGGCCTGAATAAACAGGCTTGTGCTCACAAATTTGTTTAGATAAAAGGCTGTCCTAAGAGTATGTCGTCCACCACCCAAACATTTGTGTATCACCTTCTACGTGTGCCCTACTTCCATGCCTGATTTAGCAAAGCTGGCGCTGAGGAGGTGGGTGTACCAGCAAAGCACCGTTCTCCAGCTCTTTGTTTCATGTGAGTGCCAGCAGCCATACAAAGTGGGACCTAAAAGAAGTAGTAATACCCTTTCTCTCATGCAAGTAATTTTGTGTTTCTGAAGAAATTTCAGCAAAGTTCTGCTATGTGGCTGGGTACACCTGTACCGTGGTGCCTCTGGAGTATAAAGAGCACAACCTGCTACTTTGCCACATAGTGAAATGCTTTTGTGTGTCATACATTTCTCCCCCAAATACTGTTGGGTTCAGGAGCCTACACACTAAGGTCACACTTCAATAAGCAGCTTTTTCATGAAGTAAAGAGGAAGAAGGGAAGAAGGGAAGAAACCTTAGAGAAAGGAGTGGTCACATTTGAACTTGACTTCCAAGATTTTTTTATTCAAATCAATAGTGACTTGGTGCAGCACTTGGGTCGGTTTGATACACTGCAACAAAAAGAATATCTGGATTTTGTCATGCTTAATTTTGTCATAGCTCACCAATTTCACTCCCAAAAGATATTTTACAAGCACAATGGTGGATCTACATTTAGAGAAAGCTGTCACGGTCTAAAAGGTAAGGTATGCCTTAAGTTCAGAGACTCTCAGCTTTTGAAAAAAAAAAAGGAGACTTACTTTACAGCAGTTTATTCATCAGCATATCAAAATAATTAAATTTATTGAAATGCTAATTAAAGCTCTGAGCAAGCTCTATCAAATAAAAAAATAAAAGTTTCTCTACAAGTCCTGTAAATGTTATTTTACAAGCCTGGTAACACCAAATGAATTCAGGGCAAGATCTGTCTGTTAAACAGTCAAAGAAATCCCGCAATACCGAGTAAAATTCCCCTTGCAAGCAGCTGAAATGGACAATGAAGACAGATACTGCTCACTGTAGGGCTGTACAGTCCTTTGCATTGACACTCGGATTTAGTGCCTCAGCTGCCCAGCTCCAATCACCAAACTGCGGGCATTAAAAATATTTTTAATTCTGTAGACCAAAAACTTAATGTAGTAATTATGCAAAAAGACCTTCAATCCCCAGCAAAGACATGGTACACACATTGAAGCTCATTGACTAAAAGGAAACGCATCCCTTTAAAGCACTGCCCTCCTTCCCTTCCTTTCAAAGCTCCACTGAGAAGTTACCCCCTGCCCTTCACTTCGACAAACAGCTGTCGTCGTTTTACCAACAGCCAAAATTAACTCGGTTGTTCCCGTTTAGCAGGAGTGTCACGTTTATAGCGTCAAAGCACCTCAGATACGGTCCCACAAATCCCCTTCTCACGAGCAGCCGCAGCCTAATGTGTACTTGTTCCGTCACACTAGAACTGACTGGGTCAGCCTGATGTACTGGTTACGCCAGACAGTCACCAAGTTAAGCTGGAGGAGAAATGAAGTTGGCCAGAAGAAGTGCCTCCCTCATTTTGGTTCCTCCCCAGGCATCAGCAGAAATGGCACCCCCTACACATAACAGCCTGCGACAGAAAGCAAGGAACAGCTGACAGCATTTTTTCCATACCTCTCCAGCCTCTTTCCTGTCTTTTTCACACTGGGATCTGAAAGCCCAGAGAGGTCCCTCTGCCCTGCACTTCCATCTATTGCGGAAAGAAATTGACTCGTACAGTAAATTACAATCTGGACTCTGATTTATTTTCTGTGAGCAGTAACTGGTTCTTCATACACCCCAGATTTATATCTTAGTCAAAATCACTAGCTCCCAGCCAGAGCAATGGATCTAATGGTTTTATATTCCAGGTCAAAGTTTCCAGGTTACTGTATTTGTAACAGGTAAGCATAACGTTTAATGTTATACTGAACAAATAATCACATCATCTGTTCTACATGGAAGTTCATTACTTACCCCACCTGGAAATTTTGCTTGATACTACAGCAATTTTGATGAAAATCACAAAGCCAAATTGAAATATCCGTTACTTTTTTAGAAGCGCATGGCATGCAAATGCGTCACAGCTTGAATTCACAAACAGGTTACCTTGGTGCCAAAGTTAAATTATTCAATTTACAAAATAGAAAGAGAATTACAGTTTTTCTAGAGGGCAAAGTGTGTAGACATAAATAATGCCTCCTAATATCAAAGCTGACTACAGAAAATCTGCAAGTAGCACTCAATGCAAATTTCCTTCTTCGAAGGTACTCTGAATGTAATTTTGCCTTCATTATTTCACTAGGAAGACTGATTTTTTGAATAGACAGAAGAGGAGCAGCCTGTCTATAGTCAGTCACTAACGAGTGTGGAGGAGTAAGGCACAAGCTGGCTCAGTAGAAAGGTTTTCTTTCTGTTTGTACTGAAGGAACACGACAAGTGTTTCAGGTTGCCACAAAAACACCGTCTCATTCAGAAGGCACATGGCACTGAACCGGTCTACCACAGTTCTGGTAGCTCACTGCATTTTACCTGGACGGAATGTCAACAATCCCCTTACACAAGGCTTGACAAATGCCCACGCTTCTCCACTTTCAATGCTACGGAGGTTGCACAAATTCACACGCTAGTATCAGACCTCCTGTCGCACTCCAGAGGAGCAGATCAGGTACTGTAGCGTGAGGAACTTGTGCCGTCTCCCCTGAGAATTCTGTATCTCAAGCGGATGCTTGTGGAAGACAAACACAACCTTCCATGGACCTCCTTTGCATGTACCAGGGTTGACAGTTTGTGCCCAATACCAAAACACCAGGCTTACCAAAAGCAGCAAGAGAAAACCCAACGTTACCGATTGCTACGTGACACCAGAGAACAGCCTTACACGTGAGTGTGGACACAATTCATCTTCTAACGCGCTCGTAATTCAAAAGCACACTCAGGCTTCTGAAGCAAGTTCCACCTCAAAAACGCAAAGGCAGAGGGTCACCGGATTCCAAACATTCTTTATTTTGTATTTGCTGCCATCGAAAGTAATCGAACAGGACTGCCATCAGTGTTACTGGGAAAAACAGAACACGGTTTTTCTTCTCCTGGAGATGTGATGTACGTTAAGAAGTCAGTCCAAAATCCTGATAGGAAGTACAAAAAGCAACTGTTTGAATTATAAAATACTGTATATACAGATATAAAAAGGTTTCAGAAAGTGTTCCACAAAGTTTCTGAACTTTCACAGGCAAATCTTCAGCAGGGTAAATTGGTGGTTGTCTTCAGAGGTGAGCATCAGTTCATTTGAGCAGAATGTCTGAATCTTTATCTTCCTATATTACAGGTGACAGACTTTGATTTCCATCCCAGCCAGGGATAACGTGATGTTCCTAGTGATTAAGCTGTTTTTTCCTGGAGCTATTAATTTAACAAGCACACTCTCTATATATAAAAAATGAAATTTCAAAGAAATTTATACAACAGCTAGACTTTATAAAAATATAGATCTATAATTTTACACCAGGAATTATCCAAGGTAGGTTCCATTTTCTTACGTCTTAACCATTAGAAATTAATTTTTATCCTTTGGAATCTTATCTATGGCTAGAGTGTAAATTCAAATAATGTGAAGTTATTAGCTGGTGAAGAGAGTTTCAAGAATCTCATTCTGTGGGGGGTTTTTTGGCCAAAATTCATGAACTACTGCACTCCGCAGTGCTCATCTTGCGTACTGGACATATTCCACACTACATATCTACTTACTCCAGAATCTTGACCTAACTCAGTGTTAAGAGTCCAATTAAAAACATCCCCTTTGTCCTTACTGTGGAAAAAAACCAACAAACCCAAATAAATAAAATTAGACAATATTTCTATTTTGCTGTACTGTGTTAACTCTTTACTGTGTAGTGGAGGCAACAACAAATAATACAGCCATGTGAGGAAGGAATGTAAAACTGAATACATACTGGGAAAAAACCAGACTTTTACAGCTGTGTGTATATATTTATATATATATATCTATATATATCTACATTGCAGTTGTAACTGTCACCTCACAAGAGAGATTCAAAGGACTGAACAATCATCTATAAACTTCACCAGCTGGGGCTCTTCAGGAAGAACTAGCTTTCAGCTTGGAGAGCAGCATTTCGTTCTTACGGCATAAAAACAGAAAGCAGACAGATAAGGAGGTAGTTGCTCTTTACTAGGTATGTCCTCCCATCAGCAAAACTAAACCCTTTTATTTTGAAAGATCTCCAAAATCCAAAGTATTCTGGAGTGAGCGATGAGCTGAAGATAAGCCTGATTCATTAAACTTTACCACATCCAAGCCAAAAGGAATAAAAAAGGCCGTTCATCTAAAGTTGTTACAAGTAGCTAAAGCAAATCCACCTTTATACTTATAAATTGAATAAATGTGAAATTGAGATTACTTTTAGGTGATCTGGGACTTCACAAGACATTTTGCAAAAAAAAGTCAATGTTCAGGGAACAACTGGAGTTCAGTATCACAACCATGACTTCATTTATTTTTAAGGACAGCAAGGTTCAGTAAAAGCTCCCTCAGTAGTCAGTGGATGCCTCCATTAAAAAAAAAATAAAAATACACAATTTCCATCTAACTTCTGCAACTAGGACGTAAAATTCTGTGTGTCAGAAAAACAGCTGAACAGTCCCTGACATCCTCCCAGAGCACATAGTCTGAAACAGGAAGGAACTGTCTCAGAACAAAGCAGGATGAATTACAGAAAGATGTTTTTCCTCAAACATCTGAAGCCAAATGACAATTCTGCCTGGCAGCACCACTTCGTCATTCATTAGGATGGAGACAATAATTAACAGAAGCACATTATGATGAAAAGCTCAGGAAAGGCTAAATCAATGAAATGTTAAATGGTGCTTTCAGCGGTCAGAAAACAAGGCTGGTTCCTAAAGGTATTTCTAACTACTGGGCCTTGGGATCCCCTCCTTATTCACACACATTTCCACAACCCTCTTTGCTCCAATACTGAACTGCTCACAGATCTTCAAGAGATGCTGTTTGGAAACCCAAATACACAGCTTGCTCGGTACAAATTATCCTTCCCCTGTAACATGGAGGGGTGCTACTCGATCAGGGAAAAAAGAATTTCCAGAATGAAATTCAGAGTCCAAGAATCACGTGGAGATAACCTCCAAGTGACATCGTGAACACGGTGCGATAAGCATCTTACCAGGAAATCTTGTGCTTATATTAATGCGCAAGTCAAGCCAAAACGGGCCACTGAACACTTGACAGTTTACATTGGCAAAAAATGTTCTTACCTCTTTAAATTCTTTCACTGTTTTAAAGTAAAGCCTCTGTTTCTCTAGAAGCTCTAAATATTCATCATTCAACTGGTCTCTTCGCATTTTGTTTTCTTGCTTCTTCTTTTCCATCTGTCAGGACACAAGAAGGATAAGAGATCACGCACTGTGTAAGGAGTACAGACGTATGTAAGTATGTAAGTGCACACGTATATGCTGTATAAGGAACAACTATCTACAACAGACAACGGGAGACAGGTGCTTCATAAATGATACCCCTGGCTCGTGCTTTAAATGCAACAAACATTTAGGCCAACTCTTAGAGAAAATTAAAAACCTAACGCTGAAGTCCCAGTACCAGCAGCACTATAGGTGGCATTCGGAATTAAACTGACTGAATCGAACGCCTCTGCAAGCCAGAGCTCTTGCTCACTGAACAATCCTACTGCAATGATGACACAGTGAAAGTAATTAACAAGAAACCCCCCAAAAAACCCCCCCCACCCCCAATTAAAAAAAAAAAAAGGTTTTTGATGCAATACTGAGATCTTGTTTGGTTGGTTGTTAGTTGTCTCAAGTGGGGAGGGCAGGAGACATCTTTGCCTTCCGATGCAATGCTGTGATTGCTCAAGACCCATACATAAGAAGTCTCTTCTCCTTGTGTCACAGTTGTGACAAACATAACCTAAGTCCCTAACTGTGAAGAGGACTGGCTCTTATCACAGAACAGACTGCCTTCCTCTCAGGGGTAGTTTTCATGGAGTTCTTCCATCACAGCATCACAGACAAGTTTTCTGCTAGCCTAGAGAGTAAACTTTCCCTCCTTCCTGGTGCTAGGGCACAGCCACGTACAAAAAGCTCTGTTGCATTCCTCTCCACAAAATTATTTTCGCATTATCTCTCAGTCTGTGATTCTGTGAAACTGCAAGAATCCCCTAAAGCCCAAACAAGCAGGTAATTCCACAGCAGCAGAAATTGCTGTTATTTCTAGATTTACTTATCAACATCGATCTTACTGACTCTTATGCCTAAAAGAAATGAGCAGATCCAAATCTTTCCCTGAGTATGAACACTGCTAACCAGGTACATCTCCTTTAAAAAGCCACCTGCTGTCCAAAACATCAGGGAATCTCTCCTCACATAACTTACCAGGGCCAGTAGGTTTTTAAAGTTATGCTGGAGGAAAAAAAAAGCATCAAATGTGTTAATGTAGAAAAAAGCATTATCACATGCATCCCATTCCTATAGGATGAGGCTAAAAACGGCATTGCTAAAGCATCTAGGAACTAGATTTTTGTGACGAAATAAGGTCTGTAACTACCCTTTGACAAATTGCTTCCTTTATGCCTGACCATGACAAATCTCTCGACACACTCCTCTCAGTAGAAACTGGCCTGCTCTGTCCTCGGAAAGTCTCATGATTTTCTGTTATCACACTGAAACACTTGTTCACAAGTTACTCATTCTCGGTAACAAGTAAGTCTGATTCCTCTCGGGCCTCTTTTACGATGCGGTTGCAGAATGATGGGCTTTGAAAACTGAAATTTCTCTTCAGGCATAAGGTCTTCAGGGCTGCACAGAAAACAATTAAAGTGGATGTACTTTAAGAGTGAATCGTGAAACTGACTGTGAGCACTTCTAGTGCGCTGCAGACAGAAGTCAAATAGATAAGACTAAACCATCACGGGGATGAATAACCCTTGCAGCGTACAACTAGCCTGTCTGTTGAAAAAGCCCTCCAACACATTCCCTACGTGAAGAATAGGAAAACCTTCCTTTTTGCTGCAGAGCTGTTCCCCAAGGAACCATTGAATGGTTAAAACTTTCTTAGCATCCATTTGTTGTCAGTATTTTCACAGGCATTGAGAAATCAACTATGAGAAGGTATCAAATGATTATCTACTCCATTACTAACAATCCATTTTTTTTCCTCTCAACTAAGATAAGCTTAGCTTTTTCATCCAGAAACTCATGTTTTTCTCCATTAATTGTAACTGCCACCTCCTGCTGATCTCTGGACACCTACACCTAGGAGCGAAATGGCACTCGTGAGCTTTCTCACAATATGCCAGAGCAGGAATACAGCACAAGTGACATGAGCTGCCGTTTTTTCAGCAACCATCAGAGATGCTGAAATCATATTTTCCCCCAAAATCATGAGCCATCTGACATGATAGCTCCTATTCACTTCCCTCTCCCTTATCTGTATAGGAAGCAGCTGAAACCTCTGATTCCATTTGAGAACAGAGGAACAGAGTCCAGAATGATTTTATGGACTTCAAAGATTTCAGAGTTCAACTGCAAGGCCCAGAGTAAATCACAGCAGAGCTCCCAGCCTGCCTTCACAGCTTGCGTTTGTTCTGCTGTTGCACATTTCTGCGTGTGTAATGGAGGAGAAGACAGAAAATAAAACACTGAGCTCCTGGGCAGTTTCAGTCTGGGGCAGTTCCTTGCTCAGCAATTAAAATAATGTCATTCTTCCAAAGAAAGAAATGTAATTATCTTCAAGCTCATCTTCGCTAGTCAGAACTGCAGCGTTCTAAAGTATTTTCATAATCTGTTTGATGCCGAGTCACTCATTATGTCAACAGCCTTGGAGACAGACAGATGATCCATACACACAGCCACCAGTATCGCTATTCTTTCTGCTGTCATTTTGTCCTCCCCGAAAATAACAAGTCAAGCAAATAAAAATAATTCACTGCAAAAAAAGGCAATGAACTGGCCTCCTCTTCGACCACAGCTGTCTATAGTAAGTGTCATATATTTTTCAATAGAGTTTATTAGTGCAAAAGAGCTTTATTACAGCTTGAGCTCTATCCCTTTCTGGTTTTTATATATTCATGCTTATCATATTTAGCACTTGAAGTTTCTATTTAGCTGTCGAGATAAAACAGCCCAATACCTGGACAGACTGCACTTTCAGCACACGCTCTAGTATATACTGATTCATAGTCTGTCATACTCACATTTAAACTCAAATAAAGAACAGCTATAGCCCACTACCAACAATTTTCTGGCTCTATAGAGAAATGAATCTCAGAGCCATTTTATGGGACTTAGGAAAAGATGAATATATTTGCATATGAAAATAAGAGAGTGAAACAACACAATAGCTACAAGTTAGTACCTACCGTTATCAGGACGTACTTAAGCCTATCCACTGTACACAAACATGCCTGGGGACAGCTTTACCTGGAGCTGCTGCTGGACCTCATGCTTGCATTCCCCGAGACCACTTAACACAAGCTCACTGAGCCTGTGCTTGTGCAAGACAGCCCCCCGATGTTACCAGGAGCACTGGGGCCCTGCTCACCCACTAACCCCTTTCACTTGCTATGTGGGCACACCACGCTCATCAGCAATGCTGAGCCTTTTCTAAATCAGGTTAAAAACACTGAAAACAATGAAAAAACATCCAAGTGGATTCAAGAAGGTGTCAGATGAGCGCTGCAACTGAGACAGGGGAAGCTGATGGCTGGGACTCTGGGAGGTGCTGCTGACCCTCTTCAGCAGCAGACAGCAGCTTCGATCAGCTCCAGCTGCCTGAGAAGCCGTGCCCGAGACGCAGGTCTGACTGTGCCCACGCACTCCAAACGGAGGAATTCTCACTGCCTTCAGTGACCTACAGCTGTTTCAAGCCTCTGAATCACTACGCTGCCAACAACGAAGTTAAGGGGTATAAGCCTCCTGTCAGGAGAGAGGTGTTACAATGCCTCTGTCTACTCTATTCATTAACATTTTAGGGGTGAGAAGTTTCTCATGCTTGTGAAAAGAAGTAATACTTGTTAGTTGCTTACTTAATTTGCACCTCACATAAAGGATTCTCCATGCACAGTTATTATCCAAGAGGCTTTTCTGAAATAATTCCCAGGTTCTATCAAAGAAAGTGAGAAGAGTCTCAGACCTTCATTCGATTCTGTTTGATGCCTTCTACAATCTGCTCCATCTGCCGCAAAAACTGCTCACGAGAACCGGAAGATGCCATTGCTCTGGAAAGAGAAAAAGGTAACAACTGACAGGGATGTGTCTCATCTACGGTTGTCTGGCATATTTACCCATGCCCAAGAAGTCATATTCTTAGTGTTCTACATAAAAATTCATCTTTTTAATCACTGATTTCAGGTAACAGTGCAGCTTTTCTGCTGGTATAAACTCTCCAAGTAATGGGAACAGAGACTACAGAGCTCATCACAGGTGTTCTCCCTGTCAGCTCAAGTCTGTTCCTTTCTCTCATGTGTTGTACAGAAATAAATTATTTTAATTAGTTAAAAGCACAAACTTTTAAGAAAAGCAGCTGTTGTGAAGGTGGCAAGCAGAGGACTAGGAAATCAGCAAATATTCTAAAAAATAATTTCACGCCCTAATAGGGAAAGCCCAGAAGTAATTTTACTCTTGTGACATACTTAAACAGATTAAGAAAAACAAACCAAAGAAAACACACAATCCCCTCCCCACACCCACCCAACAAAAGAACCAATGCAAACCCATCTGTCAATTACAGTATTGGTGTCTACTGACTGGACAGAATCAAAAAGGATCTTATCACTAAGCAAAACAGATCTGCAATGCCTGCTGCAAAGGAAAACATCTGAAATACTTAATTCCTGGTTTCTGTCATAAAGTTTTGGGTATCACAATAGGAGAAAAAAAATTATTTAAAAAAAAAAATATCAAATTTCTGACCAAATACAGGACACAAGCGTATAAAAGAAGGTAAAGAGATAATAACTCTGGGGAAAAAAACCAACCACAACAACAAAAGAAGTTGTGAATTTTACAGCAGAATTATAAAAAGATATAATAAGAAGAATTGTTTAAAACTATTAAATAGCCATCTCCTTCCCCATGACTCTCCTGAACTGTACTGGTATGACAAAAAAAAAAAAATCATACTGGACTTTTTTTTTTTCCCTGAAGTCAAAAAGCCACAAAGAAAAGTAAGTGCTGGCTGCATCACAGACTGGTATTTGACCTCGAACTTCCATGGGAACCGTGACTTTACCTAAGGACTTCATGCTGTATCAAAACCTTTACATACAGTTAGCTTATAATAAACATGTCTGAAATATGTCTGAGTCTAACGTTTTGTACATAATGTAATAACCACGACTTCACAAAATGGAGAAAAATATTTAAATTAATGCCAGGAAAATTATGACTGAATTTCTTTCCACAACTGCAACTGAAGAGCCAGATATTAAAAACATACGTTGGCTATAAAAGTTAGGTAATTCCAAGTCTGTGATTCCCTAAACATTGGCTTAAACAGAATTAATAAACTATCTTTATAAAACAGTTTATGTTTATAAAAATTTCTAACAAATTTTTGGTCTCTATAACTCATGCCCACTCCCATTTTTTCAACTGACCGTACTACTCATTGCAACCATCAAGAGAAAAAGGTCCGTTACTTACTGATGAAAGTTGTCGTGAATAGAATTCAGTAAGTTAACCTGTGAATTAGGGAAAAAAAAAAAAAGAGAGAGAAGAAGAAGAAAATATACATTTGTCCTTTCTGGTATGAGTTTTCATGGACAATAAAATTATATTTAGATCAAAAAGCTGACTATATAGATACAGCCCTGACAAAACAGCCAGCTGTATGAAAATCACCATGAGCTTTCTTTCAGAAGAGAAACCACGATCCTTTTGTATTTGTAAAATCTATCCCAGTGGAGGGACCACAGAAAGCAGAAGCGAGTCTCCGATGACAACTGACATTTTTGATTTTACTGAGACCCAGCTACACCACTGAGAATCTTCTAGCACAATGACTTCCCAAACTAAGGCAATGAGGTAACGTGGCGCGTACATGTGTTCAACATGGGCTGAAACTTGACGTACGAGTAACCTACAGGTACTCATCCAGTGTTCAGCAAGCATATGCTATGGCTCCGTTCGGTTCGCATAATTACTCTTGTAGTGACAGAGCAGAACTGTTTCACTCAGGCATATCCCTGACTACGCTTACAAGCCGGACAGGATAGCAAATGAAGAACTATCTTTAAAAAACCACCCCACCAAACAAAACCAAAAAAGCCCCAAGCAATAACTCCCCGCTGCCCAAACAAAAGAAGCCCCGACTGTATTAACAGTACTGGAGTCGCCAGCTTTGAGGCCATTAGCAGCATAGCTGTGTCCAGAAGAACTCATCAGCCTAAGCAAAGCATCGCATCAGGAAAACAAGCAAACAAAAACAAACAAAAACCCCAAACAGCAACCCTCCCCCCACGTCTGCTTCTGAGACTGGAACCAGTATCTCCACACAATACTGTAAACACCCACCAACCAGCGCAGGAACAGCGGGTGAATTCCTGCACTGCTTTCACTCTGCAGATGAGTGTTACAGGTTTCCCAACAGCCACGCATCATTACTCGCTTTGCTTCTGTGTATTTTACAGGCTGCTAAAAGATGAACTTCTGAAAAGTACAGAATGGCATTTCACATGCATGGCTGCTCTTGTAAGATACTGACATTGCTCTGAATCAAGACAGAAAGAAATCTAACAGCATCACAGGAATATTCTATTGCTCCTGATATAAACTCCCCCAACTAATTAAACTATATATTGAATTTTTTTCTATATACCTACCTTTGATTTTTTCCTTGCTTTCTACATATTACTGAAATCCCTAAAATTCACCACGCAGTAATTAATGCAATCCTCTCTCTCAGCTTTGAGTACTTCTTGCAAGTCTCCTGTGGTTAAACCTTCCAAGCAATTTCTCCTTTTGATGAATACTTGAAAGTGTTCTGTTCTGTACTAAACCAACCCAGCACTGCAAACAGAATCACTTGCCTCACTGCTATGGAAAGCAAAACTGATCTCCCCAAATCTAAAATCTTCCATCTGAAGGAGACAGCTGAAGCACAAGCATGCAGAATCCGCAGTTGTTCCTGACCTTACTTTGAAAAATTCAAATAACCAAATTCTGAAAAGACTCCAGAATTCCTGCTACTTAGAGGAAATAATTATTGCACAACTCATGGATATTTGCCAAGCCCACATCCCTGCCTCAAGATATTCCCAATAAGCATGCATTAAAAAATGTAGTTACAGTTTATACCACAAAACATTCAAGTAATGCAAAGTAACGCTGCACGACTAGCGCGTAGTAAGAGCGCTGATGGGTTACATTACAAACAGTAAAGTCAGTGTATAAACCCCAAGGTCCAAGACGTTATGAAAAAACTAGTCTTAAAGCATTTAAAAAAATTAATCTTTCACAAAATATGATTAAAGTATTAATTCACAGTCACCTTTCAAGTAAGAATGACAACCTTTACAGCCAAAATTCCACTGCATAACGATTCCTGCTCTTGTTATTCTAAGCAGTTATGCTCAGTGTATTTTATGAAAGGGTTGGTTTGGGGAGGAGAAAAGGGGAAAAAAAAACAAAAAACAAACAAACAAAAAAAGACATGAAAAAGCACGAACATATTCCAGAAATCTTTGTGAGACACAGATGCCAACGGCATGTTTTGTACATTACGAGACAATATTTACTTGCTGAAACCTTGGTTCTAATATTAAATGCAACACAAGGCAACCTCAACTCCGTTACACATTTAACAGCTAAGACTGCAGCAGAAGACATTCAGACCTCTCTCTTGTGACTGACATCAAGCTAAAAGAAACTCTTGATCAATTTATTTGTCTTTTGAAATTATATCCGTGTAAGCGAAGCTTGGAACTCAAAAAGCCCAAACTCACTCACTCACTCCCCCAAAAAAGGCATTGATTTACATTGGCAAGAGTACTCCCAATTCACACAACAATGAAATGCTGCTCTGTATTCTGTTGGCTGGTTTTTATGTGCCCATTTCTAAAACAATCTCTGCATGCTTCTTAAATTTGCAGGCATGTCCTTAAAAAAAATAAAATATCTGTATTAAACTCTAAGCTAGGGGAGACGTTCAAGTAATATGAATTCTACAGCTGCTTCTTAACATGGTATTTTAAATCTGGTGTATTGTTATCTGCAACCTGTGGTATTACATATTATGAATGTGTTTCACCATTTGGAATAAGAAAATAAAACCAATGAAAGACCAGAAAAACAAAGCATGTTATAACCTTCTTAAACTTGGGTCAGGCGTTCACTGGCAGCCATTGGACCACCCGCTCCTGTGCGGGGATGCCAGTTTTACAGCTTTTTACGCTCCTGAACATTCCATACGGAACTGACATCACATGGTATCATCATTGTTGGTTTGCAAGAAGTTGATGTTTGAAAAACTTTCAAGGAAAATCCTTAATGGTGTTTTCAGGAGACGAAAAGGTAAGTTACACCGCTAATTCCAAGATAATTTATTTCAGGGTCTTAAGGACCATCAGGTACAATAACTTTTAGAAACATCATTGTCTCATGCTAAACTGAAACCTGTCCCAGAAATCAGGTATTTCTAGAGCACACGACAATCATCACCACAAGTCAAACTTTGGTAGATCCTGCTTTGTACTGATCACTGACCTAACTCAAAAAATAAAAATTAAAAAAGTATACACACACATCAATGAAAAAGCCATAAGGCTCAATTCAGCGCAGAACTTGAGATGTCTGCACACGTATTATTTACATCTGTTGTTAAATCACCTAGTCACAGAAGTTAAATTTACTGCAATGCAGCTTGGATTCTGACAACATTCACAGAGCAGTATAATACTTCGCTGCAAAAGAAAGTGACAGACCTACCCTGTCACTGCAGTCGTGCCTTAAAATACTTCTATCGGGGTAAGCTGGGAACGTTAAAGTTTAGAATGGTAGTGTGAAAACAGTATTCTGGGTTGTGGGGTTTTCTCATCACCCTGGTCTCCAAAAACTCTGTAAGCAGCCCAGTCTTTCATGTTTGCCAAAGGAAAAAGGTATTGTATCTCTGAGTAAGTTCTACACGGAAGCAGGACATCAGTGAGCTTTCCAGCAGACTCACGTAGAGCACTTCCTAAGGTTACCAAATGACAGCAAGTAAACTGTACTCAGTTACTGTAGAACTAAGTAGGAGAATCAGGAAGGGTAAAAGTGAACAAGCCTAACGCTATTCTGTCCTGAAGGGCTGCTGTTTGCCAAAAGTTTCTCCCGCTTCCCCAACTGGCTCTCCTCGCAGTTTTACCGCAGGTATAGTACATGCAGCACAGGTTAACTGTTAAAGAATATTTCTGTATTGAAACCTATTCCTGCAGTAAGCAACTGTCAGGATCATGCACCCTCTAAAGAAGCCACATAAATTAATGACTTTTCCGAACTGAAGAACTGGAAACTATCTAGCACATGTATTTGAACCAGTTGCTTAAGGGAGGGAAATGGTTGCTCATCATCTTCAAAACTGGAGATAAAGTGTCTTTACACAGCCAGACATTTGACTACTGCTTGTCTCACAAACTAAACAAATATATCTCAGTAATGCAGAACTAACTAATCTGTTCTTATTAGAATAAACAGAGAAGCCTGCAGTATCAAAACATGATAAAAATTATGACATTACTTTTAAAATACATGAAGTCTTGACTGCTCCTATTTCTCGATCTTCACTGAAATCACATGCTTGTCATTAAAAAAAGAAAATGTAAATCACTTGATTAAGTCACCCCCAAGAAAGAGGCAAACTCTATAGTAGGGAGAGAGGGGAGGGAAAAAACAAGTCGCTTTCACGAAAACTACTCTTCTGATCCTGATCCAGTAAAATCACCGGCAACTTCAGCGTAGGCAGGCTCAGACCCTGAGAACTAACTCTGGTGTTGCTGACAGCAGCTGGAATTTGCTCTCCACAGTTACTGGCTGTAGCGTTGGTTCATAATGAAAGCCACGGACCGAAAACAGGAAGAGAGGGCAATTCGGCCCTGCGATACCAAGACAGGACATTTGCTAATCCAATATTACTCATGTTTTGTGAGCACAGCGAGTAGTTTAAACACGCTGTACTAAGAGCACTTCTTTCACAACACAGACCATTTCCCCATCAACATTGGCAATACTCTTGCGAATCGTAAGAGTTTCTTTTTTAGTTACAAAGACTGTTAACTCTGCTCTGACACAACTGAATATGGTGAAATCCAAGTAAAAACTCTTTATCTCCTCCGCAGACTGAATATTTAGAAAACAGTGATAACACTTTCTTACCTCCTTTTCCAAATATACTTTCTTATCATCCAGTGTATTATAAAGAGTAAAGAACTGCTTCGTTTCTTTGTGAGTTGCTGAGACTGCAAACAAAAAAAAGGGTAGAATAACAAAAGAGCATGAGGTGAAATGGAATCTGTAAAAATACTTGTAGGCATTATATAATATACTTTCCACTATCAATAATGGAACGCACCCTTTAATACATTCTGGAAGGATATTCCCTCTGCATGTAAATCTCCAGCAGGGTTTGCAGCTATCAGATTTTCTGAGAAACACAGCTCAGTGTCCAAATTAAGCCTCAACTGCTGACAGTCCTTTAGGCGAACACACATTTGCACTATCAGCTGCGCTTCCTTACCACTGTCTGCTCATCCTGCCGTCGTAAGCTTTACCCTTACACCCTACAGGCTGCTGTACTGCTGACAGTTGCCCCCGCATAGCTTGCCCATGGGGGCGGAGAGGCACAGGCTTGGCAGGGACACAGAGGAAACAGATAATCTGATAGTATTCTGTGGGAAACAAGTGCATTATCCTACGTATTTCAAGCTACACATGTGCAAGAGGCCCGAGAAAGCTTTTACTGTTGTTTTGAAACCTTTTTATCTTCTTACAGTCTATTCATGCTGATAGAATTAAATAATACTTTCTTTTCAAATAATACTTTCTCGTTTAGGTGATCACAGCAGATGTTGGTCATAGCTTGGTGGGGAAGGTAAGGCTCAGACATGCATTCCCTTTGGGCCTACAACATGATGACTGCCACTCAAATCTGCTAAGCATTCGTCTATTCGTTAGTTCTTCAATGCCTAAGGAAACCCAAGGTATTGGCGATTCCCAAGGAAAGAGATCAACAGAGAAGGCCCGTTGGCAAAAATTACTATGGTTACTATATTAAGATCTGTCCAGAATCCTGAACCTGGAAAAAACATACAGGTTAAAGAAGATAAACCTGAGTAAAATCATGCTCATTACATTAAACTCTAAAGGCTAACGAGTCGCCATCTTTAAAGTAGACCTTTACTGAACTGATACACTGGACTGAACTTTTGAATGGAACCATTTACAGACAACACGACCTCCCTCCCACATCACGTCGTCACTGAACATCCAAATTTTAAAAGAAATTCCAACTTTTCATTTGTACAATTCTCTCCTCCAGCTGGAGCCCAACAGCAACCCAGAGCTCAAAGCTGAATGTTTTGGTGACTAAATCCAGCAGTGGCTACTTCTGCAGTAGCAAGATGTTCGGGACCAGAGAGCTTTCTCAACAACTGTGACACATGTTCTGCACATGCTGTAGCCTCCAGAAACACACTGAGTACTGGGAGCCTGAAAGCACCGAGGAATTCAGGAAAGCCTGGGATAGGTTGACAAATTAGTAAGGGCTGTTCAGCATGTTCCACGAAGATTTGCCAAATGCTGAAATCAGGCTGTTTCTTAAAAAGCTGCACGAACCCACGGATCACCAAGAGCTTACTTCAGGTGTAATGAGCTTGGTTTTTGCAGGACTGCTGCCAAATGGAAGAGGCCTTTCCCAAACCATTTCCTTCATGCAGCTCTTCCCTTTCTTGCAGCAGCAGCTCTGGTAGTCACAGATCTTTTATGAGTGGATTCCACATACCAACTCAGAGGCAAAGCGGTGGGAAGGAAGTACTGGATCTGTGCTCGCTAAAGAAGTACAGCTATTTCATGCCTGGAGGCACACAACACACTTGGAAGACTGCACACAACTCTTTTGTCACTAGAGATGCCTCATCAGGGCAAGGGATTTGAATCAAAGTTAGACCACAATTTTAGAACTTCCTAACCTTCAAGAGCTTGGTTTGCATATGCATTTAATAAATGCAGAGTATCTTTAAAACATTAACTAGTTCTTCTTGGTAGAAACTTTAGCTTATGCTAAAACACAAGCTACATTAAATATACACCATAAGTATACTGGTCTGTTATCAGTTTAATGGAACAACTTTAAAATTGTATTCATTGTGCATGCTCCACACCATACACACACAGCAAACACATACCTATCCAAAAACAACTGAGCACATTTCCCCATTTTATATCTTCTTATTAAAAAAAAAAAAAAAAAAAGAGATAAAGACAATTTGTGCTCTGATCCTACCAAGATATTTATAAATCAAAAATGAAAGAAAACAATCCCTTCGAGAAATTGCCTTTACTTTGTAGTTCTTGACATTGGTTGGTTCAGAACCAGATACCTCACATCAATGAGAACAATGAAAGCAATCTAATGTTGAGAGCAATTCATTAAACACAATTCAAACTTACAGCAACCTTATTTGTAAATGGTGAATTAAGGACTTTGTAAACACACTGGTCCTTGACCTAAATGACCGAACCTGTGGCAGACAGTTTACTCCAGAGATCTTGTGCATCAAATTTCACCCCCAGGAAAATGCTTATAGCCAGCTTATAAACCTTGAAAATACGGTGTATAACATGAATGCCAAGAGACCCTTAAAATACCACAGAATTAGCGAGCGCTGTTGTTACATGCCATACGCTTAAAATGCAACTGCCCTCCTTTCAGGGCTTCCTGCTTGATATACATACCCTGACTGTAAAGTTCAATAAATCTCTTCTGATACTGTGTTAGCTCAGCTCGGCTGGGTACTTCATCAATCTTGCGTTGTAAAATGGCTATTTCTCTGTTTCTTCGTGCCTGAATAGAAAGTTAGGAGGGGAGAAAACAAAGCCTCTTCTTGTTCTCTTCTTAAAATGGATGAAACCCCCCCAGTAATATTTTGTTACTAAATGATTAATTTAAAAAAAAATTAAAAAAAACACCTTTGGCTGAGGCTCAATTTTTTTGTAATTGATTTCTGACAGAAAAAAAACTTCTTAAAATTAGAACAACAAAAAGAAGTATTAGACATTACAAGGTAAGAAAAATGTCAACAAGTAAATTTACAGAGTTACTCACCAATAACAGCCGGATCTTTTGAAGTTTATCTTTCTCAGTTTTGTACTGCTGTTCTATGATCTTATTCGGCTCCTAGAATTTGAGAACCCAAACCAAATGTGTATTACAGTAGCAAACGAGAGCTGCAGTGCAAAAATAGACAAATATAGAAAACAAACCCAGTCTGTACATCTCCCATTTAATGGCTCCCACAGTAACACCATTTCTGTTTTGTTTTTTTTTTTTAACAACGATTCACAATCTGCATTAAAAACCTTACTGTAAACAAGTGCATTTTGCTAGCTTTTAAGCCTTTGTTATTTTAAGATTTGTCAACAGTTTTTCCACCACTTTACAACACTCACACTTCAAATCAAGGTATGTATCAGAAGAGAGTCTGTACTCCTTGTCTGAATGTTTATACTTTGATCCAGTGGCAGGGTTAAGGACAAGCATGGCCCAGGACAGAACACAAACCCTCTGACAGGGACTCCAGATTTCCTGGATTGTGGACTTGAAGATAATTTTTTCTTGTTTAAAAATTTAAGTTTACATTTTAATTTTTTATGCTGTGTTCAGACGGACAGCAGCATCATGGAACCTGTCATCTACCTCATTTCAGAGGCGTAAACGTATCAAATGTTTACCTGCTGAAAATACAAGTAATTCAAGCTTTTCCTTTTCTGTTCATTCATTATTCATTGCCATCAGTCTGGACGCACCTGCGTTAAAGCCTAACTTCTGACAGCTGCTCACAGCACGCAAGGTACTGAGCCACTGAAACCGTCAACTAAACCCACTTTTAAGAAAAAATACGAACATGCTTTCTGAAGAAGACTTGTTTTTGTCAGAGGTATATACTGCTCTTAACACAACATCCACAGATTCTTCTCTGGTGCTACAAAGACAGACGTAAAAGGTACAAAAGCATCTAGGAGTTAGCCCCATGGATTCTGCAAGACCAACGAAGAACGCTACAGCTGTTTTCAGCCTACTGTATTTCCATGAGTATTAGCTGAACTGGGGCTTTACCAGTGGGGAACAGAATTTTCCAGAGACTGCAATACATACTTCAAGGCTTACGAGAATGTCCCAAAAGTAAGAAGGACATAAACCAACATTTTAAAACACAAAATGAAAATAAAAACTTGTTGACATTTGCTTTACCTGTTCCTCCCCATTTTCCGCTGCCTCCGCTTTCAAATTCTCAATATTTTGTTGAAGTCTCTCCATTTCTTCCTTTAAAACAAACAAACAAAAACATGTTACTTTTAACTCCTCTTAACACAGGAGAGCAAGGAGCTTGACAACACACACCTCTAACAAAATTGTGGAGCTGACCCCACACTTTAAATTTGTAAGATGAAACAGCATTCCCTGCTTAAGGGTAAGGCATCCATTATTACTCACTGCATGAATCCGTCTGCTTTTATCAAGCAGAGGAACAGATTTAATTCTTTCTTGCAAATACACTAGACCCAGCTAAGACAACTAATGAGCAACACAAAATGAAACTGAGGAAGCAAAGGAATATTACAACAGCAACAGCACAACAGGGGACCGCAAAGTACAGCACTTGTCAAAATGAATGACCCTGAAGTTACTTGCAAGGTTGTTTCCATTACAATCCTTTAGAGCTTTCCAAAGGAGTATGTACGGGGAAATGAAGTTCCTATGCTCAGTCTATGCCTCAGGGCACTATTTATTTTTACTTCTTTTCTTTCTATTAAATCCCATCCACCACTGTTTAAACAGCAATAAATGAAAACAATTCTCTCTGATCATATTTCTAGGCAGTCCATAAACCCAGCAGCCAACAGGACAGCCAAACACAGCAATTAAGCAGTAAAACTGAAACATGCTCCGAGAACTGCGATAGCTTCCATCTCAGTCTTGTCTGTTTTGGTGGGTTGCTCCGAGGCTGGGGGCCTTCAGGAAGCCCTCCTCTTTGGCGCTGTACCCCTCCTCAGGTCACTGGGGGCTGCATCACCCAAGAAGAGATGATCCAGTCCAGGCTGCGAGCAGCACGGGCGGGTATCTAGTACAGCCCGATCTCCAAGTTCCATTTTGGTGCTCCCTGTCAACCCACCCCACGTTGCTCTCAGCAGAAAGGTAACGGGAATGAGAAGAGCCGCCGCTGTGAGCAGTGCAAGGCTGATCGGGCACTGCATGTCTGGGAACTGCCCTGCACCAAAGAGTTCCATGGAACACCAGAACATTGAAGGGGACACTAATTCAGACCCCTTGGCAGCCTTCCTCACACCTCCCTGCCCCAGGGCAGGGGGTAAGTCCTTCTCGTTAACCCAGTTCCAACCTTCTCAATCATCAGCCTTGTTGCAGATATGACACACTGCAGAACTGGGCAACATAATTCTGCCACAAATCAAACCGGTGGCAATGTTCAATATAAACCTGGAAATACCCATAAATGGAAGGGGAAGGGGGACAGATGACAGACAGGGACACACAAAGCGACAACAGATCAGGAAGAAATATAATGCTTATTTACCAATTTTTAAACGAATCCTTAGATAAGAAACTAAAACTTACCCTACAATGTGCTTTGAACTCTTGCTCCTGGCTTTTCAGGTTTTCATTCATGGCCACCAGTGCTCGCAGACTCTGTAATACGCTAAATTTGAAGATCCAGTAAACCACATTAGATTTTTACTTTCTAATTTAAATAGATGGAGAACTAAAAGAGGTTAGAACAAGCTTAGTTCTAAATAAATTCCCAATAAAATCTGTGTAAATTAAAAACCCAAATATCACCACTGATATACCAAGATAAAAATAAAAATTTAGTACTACACTGAGTATCTTGATGGCTATTTTCTGACCTCATTACTGTGGAAGTTTTGAGAGAGAGTCCTATTTAATTTATGTGAGATGAAGGCTTCAAATATGAAGGAAATAATCAGGAAGGCCTCACCTACTTGTCAAATGCGTCTCCTTTAAACATCTGCAATTATTTTCAACTACAGATTGGCACTTTTCATTCTGACTGAATACTATGGTAATATTTTCCTGTCTTTGGAAAGCGAGCTGGAGAATTATTTAATTTTTAAATTTTAGTTATTTGTTTAGGTTGACAAAGCAAGAGATATCTAATGATTCATTTCAAAAGCATCGTTTTTTAGGATTTCAAAGGTCACAAAGGAAGAAACTTACCTAGAATCTGCTTGGGATTCTATTGTTTCTAAGGCTGCCAATTCCTTGTCCAACTTTTCACTGTAACTCTTTACCTAAGGGTTGCAATTAATAATAAGTTGAAATACACTTCCACACGTAAAATTTTTCATGGTAGTTAGCTTTCCCACACCATGGGATCAATGAGTGGTCAAGCACCTTCACCATTTCATACATCCCTCTACACACAGAACTTCTCAAAAATGATTCAGCTAGAACCAGTACAGAGGGTGGGGGGGGCAGCGGGGGCAGAAAGATTACCTCTGTTAACGTCTTTTTTGCTTCGGTACATTTTGCCTGCAGATCAGTACATTTAGCTTGCAACTATCATGAAAGAGAAAGAAAAGAGTTTGATTCTATATTCACGCTAATTACACCTGTAATGGAGAATAGCGATATTTGAGCTGTTAATAATGGGTATCTATTAAATAGGCCAACTGTCACAAACACTGTCTTTTCTTGTCATCTACTCTGAGAACATTTGATTGCAAGAATTCTGATTGAATATTTAATTAATGACAGCAAACATTTTCCACCTGACCTTCTAGATGTATTAAGTCCTAGAATGAATGGCAGCTTTTACAAAATGGGTGCCAACAGAATGGTAATTTATTGGATAGAGCCTCTACTAAATAATTGTAGTGTTATTGACTATGAAAAAATGCTGTCTTTAACAGATGGGGCATGCCAGAGGGCAACGCAAACTGAAATGCATCAGTTTAAGAATGAAACTAGTTCAGCATGTTCCGAAGGAAATGCATTCTAATATTTACCAGTTAAAACACTGCCATACTCCACCCTTTGAAAGTTTTTTTTGTGCACAATAATTTAAGAAGAACCTGCACTGGTTCTTCATAAAGCTTTTTATTAAACTTGGAAAAAAAGAAGGGAGAAACAAAGAACAGAACAGTCAATTGGTCTTTCCATTTTTTTGTGCATAAGCTTTATTTCTATAGCGTTATTTAAACTTAATGTTACTTCAATGCTAGTCAGAGACTTCAAAAAAATGGTTCACAGCATATGCTTTACTGAAAGGAGATTTAAGTTTTGAAGAGATAAATAACCTTTAAATAAAATATTGCACTGTTTGAGACTATTTTTTTCTCATTTTCAAAATAAATAAAGTCAGGTCTAATAAGCCGAGCAGGAAGGTTTAAAATCTAGTGCTCCCATAGTTATACCATAGTAGGCAAGGCTTTCAAAGCTACCATCCTTTTAAGTCTGTTGTTTCCAAGACTGAACAAAACACTGTCTCATAAAATGTGCCATACAGACACCTATCTTTTGGAACCCCATACCCCCAACATTTCATAGGTAAAACTGGTTAAAATGTAAGGAATTAAGATGCTACTGACAAGAGCAGAGCAAAACAAAACAAAAAATCCAGATGAAGGCTGCTGGAGCAGCGCTGTACTTGACAGAGTATCAAACACAGAAGTCATCCGCAACAGCAACAGTCTTTCCTCAACTACTATTTGTTTTTTTGGCAACCTCTTCCAACTACTGACTCTTGATGCAATGTGTTTTCATCAGATTCTGCAAGCTAAAGATGCATGGTGCTGGTCCCAGCAGCATGCGTAATTAAAACCAGCATTTCACTAATGGCATGGCTTTCCCACTCACACTTTTCTTGGTTTAATGGCAATAGTGTAAGTACGCTGAAATACAGGAACGGTGGTTCTTGCTCTTATTTCTAGACATGAACAGAACACCAATCACAAATTCAAGAGCCTTTCCTCCCTAAAACAAATGTGAAGATGTGAACCAAGCACTGACTGCAAAAAAAACCCAAAAAACCAAACAAACAGACAAGCAAAATACTTGTCAGTGAGACAAGCTGGCTCATATAAAGGACAGAAAGTGATAAAAAGTCATTTGCAGCATAGATAACTTCCTAAATTGTTTCATGAAACTGAAACCAGCCCATTCAACTCTGTAGCTAACAAGTCAAATGGAGGTACTCTCTCTGTTCTTCTCCAAGAGAAGTATGCAAAAAAAACAAGGAAAAGCACGTTTGATTAGCTAGCCTGCTCCTCAGACAGGGCTACACAATTTTTTAATACAAAACCAGCCACATTGTCTTAGTAACAAATGTGCAAGCACGACATTCAGAGATGCTGAAATGAATGTTCAGCATGACAAATTGCTGGTGCAGAAGATAGCTTGCAAATCTTTTCTGGATGGCAAAAACTTTGTGATCAACCACATTTATCAATGTTTTCTTCTTTATTACACACACAACACCTACCTCTTCCAGGAGTTTGGTTTTTTGCAAAACCTGCTTATTCAGAGATGCCACCTTCCTTCTATGTTGTTGGGCAGCTCCAAGCCGCTCTGGTCGCTCCTCAGCGGAAAGCTCAGATTGCTAAAATAAACAGTAACACCAGCCTGTTGGTCCTCATGCCATTACTTTTTGCTTCTTTGACAGCTCAGGAAATGCCAAAGCGAGACACAGCTGTGATATTCCTTATCAAGACCTGTGTCCCACCATGTAACAGAAGGAATGACTTACCGATTTATCTCGCATCAAGATAAGGAAGCAGCTGAACAAATGAATTCTATCCCAAAGATAACAGGTAAAGTACGCTAGAAATAAAGTCAGGTGCCCTGGGACGGGTGGAAAATACTACAGTATACCAGAACAAATAAATGATTTTTTGCATCAGCATTACAGTTAAACCTGGTAGAAGTCTTAAATGGAAAAAATACAACCACACTAAAAACCGCCTTAGGCAGCGCTATTTACGGAACGTGTTGAATCAGAGATGCTCCATACCACAAGAAATAGACCCAGAACCTTCAAAAGCCTTGAACAATTGAGTACTTAGAGTCTGAATTACTGGCTTGCATGCACCCTTATGCTGAATGACAATGACATACTCCGTGTGGTAGATACATTTACCACTCTAAGCGTTTTTTTGTGTGTGCCTATGTACTATGGACACCAGTCTTTGAAAACTACTCAATCCAGCATGCATTGCCAAGAAAGTGTCTCATAAATACATAATGAAGACAGCAATCTGGATCCAGTCTCCTGTTCTCTCTGAATTGTGAAAGCAAAGCTGCCAGAAACATTCTTTACCAGGAATAACATTTATAACAGAAATTGTATATTTGCAGTAGACAAAAGAATGGTTATAAATCACTGACAGCTAGATGTCCAAGTGATTATTTGCACGTTTTGAAAGTCCTCACTTTAATACTTACATCCATCTGTTTTGGTAATTTACTTCATGCTCTCAGACTTTTTTTACTAGTTAATCCATTTTCCAGTGTTTCATAGAAAAATAGTTAATTTTCAAGTACTTCAGGTGCTAATTTGCAGAGTCTGTCAAAGACTTCAATACTAAGTGGTTTTTGAATAATTACCAAATGTTGACAACCACTACAATGCATAATCAACAAAAATGTTACAAGAAGTATGAAACACTCCAGTTTGCTCCTGGTATCCACTCTAGGCAGATGGGTAAGCAGTTGTTCATTAACAGCTTAATTTTAAGTGAAAATACAAGGCAAAACCTGTCTTCCTCGTCTCCATTTTCTGTTATTTATATTGAAGAGCAGCTTAATGATTTGTTTTACTTGTACATCCACAGCAAGAAAAGACCAATTCTGACATCTTAACCCAACAATTCATGTAGTTTCTTTCTGTTTGCTAGAAAAGGAAAAATGCCTGTAAGCAACACCTGTATAACACTCAACTCTTCACCAAATACACACTCAGATTTACTTATTCCTCTCGTTATTTAGCCAAATCACATTCCTCATCATGTCATGCATTCTAAGACATCATCCTTCTCACCAGAGTCTAATATGCATAACATGCAAATCAAGATAACTGGAAATGCAAGAGAAAAAAAACATGAACTAAACAAGTCTGAGACTGATCTTGCTAAAATAGTACAAATAGATACAGTACACCTTTGGCACAAAGAAAAGGTCATGCCTCAAGAAGCAGACTGTTAAAGCTTGCTTTTTGAAAGTGGGAAATAACCATCACTATCATACAGTGGTTTCGGCACTAAAATCCTTCTGATCTGCAAATGAAAAAGCCAGGGTTAAGCCTCGTGCCGTCCAGGTGGGCTAAGGATCTGCTCTGCAGCAACACGGCAGCTTTAAAGGTACTGAGGAATTGGGTTCCAATTTGTGGAGAAGGAAGAAAGCACAAGTTATAGAAGCTACTTGTGCTTTTGACACTGTTGTTGTTCAAGAAAGCTGTATCTGAGCACCAGTGTCTCTGACTCTTTAAGATTACGAATTTGCTACTCTATCTCAAAACACGAGGTTCAATTACACGTGACAAAAAGGGATATGTGGGTACATCCTTCAACTCTTCTGTTAACACACGTTACCCCCACCACTGACAGGTGTGGACTCACTTCTGCATTCTTCCTCGTTCTCTGCAGCTGCTCAACTGCCCTAAAAGTTTTTACCCAATTCAAATAAACAAGTTAAACAAGAAGTGTTAGTAGCCTCATTTTCTAGGCAGAATTTGTTAAGTTAAAATGCCATATTAATTACGCATCAGGTTATTTAATTAATCTACAACAGCTCAAAAACCGCTAGCCAAAATAAATGGCTAGTTCTAGACCCTAAGAGCCTGCCTCCCACTGTTCACATGTAGAAGTTTTCCATGGGAAGGAGGAAGGAAATACATGCAATTAATGTTATTCTTGTAACGAGATTCTCTCACACACCTATAAACTTTCCAATGACTACAGAATTCAATCACTACTCTACAGAACTTCACATTCTTAGGGGAAATAAAAAAAGTCTATAAAACCCCCACAAACTTTGTAGCAGTAAATAATTTTGTTTATCTCTTCATGTTCAGTCATCTCCTACTAGCAAATAGACCTCAGAGGTTTAGATCTGTGACTAACTCCATCACAGTTGCCTCAATTTGAAGTCCACTGTCTGAAGCCCACTGGGAAAAAAAAACAAAACACCACAAAACACAGTCTCCAGCCCCGCAACAGTTCAAATCTGGTTTTAGTCAAGTTACACATAGATCTTTAGCAGTCATGTCAATGTAATTTGCTGTCATTTCTCCTTGACACTTTCCTGAGGCTTGGGAACCCAAAGATAAAAATCACTGCATCTCACTTCATCTTTGAGGGCTTCCTCAAACCAAAAAATACAAAAATATCCAATCTTGTATCTCCCTTGAACAACAACCCCTAACCACACTAAATGGCTGAAACTGGCTGTGTAAGGTGCATAGTAATCTCCGATACAGGATTCTAGAAGTCCAAAAATATTGAGTCAGCTTCTCAAGATATAAGCAACTTGCCAACAGCATTTAAAGCTGTTGAAGAGGATTCTCCTTCAGGCACTTTTGAAGGGGGTAGTTTTGAGACAGCACTTCTCTAGTCGTAGTCATTCTTCCAGTTTACCAGGGGACAAGCTTTTCCTCCTATTCCACTCCTAGCAAAACCACTTGTTACATATGACTATACTTGTGAATTCTCAGAGAAAGAATCCTTTTAACACAGTAAAAATCAAAGCTACTTTGAATAATTGGCCTTAGAAAGCTGGTGATGAATAGACAGATAAAAGCCACGTTAATAATTTTCTGCCAGGATTTTTAGAAAGTGAGGAATGACACTAGACTCTTCCCTCCAGTTTGGTTAGCAAGTTAACACAGCAGCAGAAAGGAGGGACAAATGCAGAAAACTGTATGCATTGATCTTCTGCAAAAATGCCATCTTGTAAGAAAGGTCCTGGCACACGGCAACTCAGCTCTAGAGTTTTGTTTGCCACCTATCTTCACTGGGCCAGCAGATTCTGGTAAGAACCTGGTAGACAAATAAGCTCTGCTGTGTTCTTCAGACAATGTATAGTTAGAAGGGGTTAAAACTATTAGAACTATATCCAAACATTGCTGATGCTTCAATAAACTGTTTGATAACATCCTTAATTCTCTTTTCCTGGTGCACGTACGCACACACAGAGAGGGGTTTTGGTCACATCCAATAGATTTGAAAAGTGATGTGGTTTTCGTTTGACTCCAATCAGTTCTTACTTTCCAGAGTATTAATCACTGTTCTACTACAATAGTCAAGGTCCTGCTGCCTTCTCTCAGAACAGAAGAAACGTAACATTGAAATATGACCCTTGGGCTTCTGTTCTTGCAATCCTTTATAATAAAGAAAGGCCAAGAATTTGCTATAGACTCTGTTGAGTTATAGGATTTATCTCCCAAATGGGAAAGCCCCATACCTCATACGTGTCAACAAAAAGGAAGAAATATGAGAAGACTATTGGACAAATAAGAGCGACCTATAACTCATATCTGGCAGTGATGTATTGCAGGTATTAATTGCTTGACGAGCCAGATTTTCTTTTCACATTACTGTAAAAACAATCACAGTTGAACATAATAAATGGAGCGAATATGTGCATTTAATTGCCATGACTTCTAAAAGCAACAAAGGTTTGGTTTTGATGGTACTGGATTCAAAACTAGAGATCCAGGGCACGACTGAGAATTGGAGCTCAGTGCAAGCAAGATCCCAGTGTCTGAAAATATGAGCGGAGGAGGCCTATATTTTTCTCTGAGCAGGCCCACAGAACTGTATTTCTGTGCTTAACACTGAACATTTTAAAATGCATTAAGAGTTTAGGCCTCTAGTTTGAACATATATCAACTCAGGTCCTTCTTTATTCACAAAAACGTTTAAGCAGGTGCTTAAACTCAAGCTACTCGGGAATGCAATTCAGGAGTATCTACTGTCACACCAAAAGCTTGTGCATGTTTAAATCTCATTAAAATACTTTCCTGAACCCTGACTGTGCTGCTACCCACAGCATCTATGAAACAGTGTTCTTCCATCAAGAGAATCATGGCAGCTAAGCTGCAAGCTTAAGGCCTACATTAACAAGCTATCAACCACAGCCAGGTAACACACTTACCTTTTCAGCGTACTCTGACACTATTTGCTTGATCTCATCTGACTGGAGTCCAACAATCTGGCCAACTGTGCTTGCTGTCAATTTGCCCTGCAATTGTGACAAGAAAATGTTTGGAGTTTTGGAACTGCCTGTGCTTTTTACATGGCAATTTCCCCAACCTCTAATTCTAACAGAAATGTACAAAACCTTTACATTGGATAAAAATCTCTAATCATAAAAAAAAAGACCAAGAATCATTCCACCCCAAAAAAACTTCACTGATGGAAATTTCTCACAACCCTTTAGCAAACTTGAATTCAGATTTTCAAAAACTTACTTCTAAGTGTATTCTGTATACTGAATCTTGCATGTTCAGTAATAAAACTCTCTATTAGACCACATTTTCAGCCAAACTGTAACAATGCAGATGTGTGAAAGAATGCACCTTTCAAATTGGAAGCATGCACTAAAACAGTCTCCAAGTAGAACTGAATTCTACAGTGGATTTAGTAGAAAGCATGTCAATCAACTCTGAGACTAGACCAATTACTACCTTTTCTTCGGTGACTTCGACATAAGCAGAAACAATGTTTAACAACTGACTTCCTTCCCAGTCCTCTCACCCAGAAATCAAAATGTAAGAATTTTCAAAATTACAACAGCCTACAAGTTCTGTTATATCGTTAACTACAACCAATTAAGAAAACAAGATACATATCCCAGTGCTTTCAGTGTCTTAGACTAATGGTGTTTATAAATATTTATCAGTGCTTTGAAAAACACCTTGAAACACATACAATTTTCCTCCACTCTCCCCAGTAAAATGATTACTCCTCTGGATATCTTTGCAAGATGAATAAAATAAGATCATACTGCATCTTGGGTAGCTGCACCGTGATGTCTTTCCCCTGAAACTCCCCTTGCAGAAACCATATGAAAGAGGCATTTATTTATAATACTTTTATCATTTCAAGACAAACGATTAAGTCATCAGTCTCATAAAAATTACTGTCTTCCTAACCCAGACATCTTTTCTTGCACTCCCTTCACAAAAATTTAAACGCAGTCATTCCAAGGCTTCAGACTCACCATTAACCTGATTTTAGGAATAATTGCCATAATCAACCAGAATTTAAACAAAGCTGTATCGGTTTTAAATGCTGCTTACCTCTTCTGTTGCCATTGCAGCCATTCCAGTCATCAGAGTTTTAATGCGAAGCTAGGGCAAAATATGAGGAATTACACATAACAAATTATCTTTCATTATTTAACTTACTTCTGCCTAATGACAGGGACACATGTATATAATTAGTATCCTATAACATGTGCATTTTAATGCATGTAGTGGGACAGTAACTCTATAAAAATTAAAGAAAGGGTTGCTAAAGTTACCAAATTCAAGGAAAATTCCTTATAGCAGTACAGGTTCACTCAGAGTATTCAGCTCCCACTATCAACCAAAAACTGACCTTTTAAAAATGTTTGGATTCCAAAATGAAAGTTGAATTTTTCGGTATTAAACACGAACGAGCATTTAATTTTGTGCATCAATTTCAGGTTCTATATTCTCCTGTGGGAAGCAACTTGCACTTCAGCTAAGCAGGTAAATTTTCCTTCTCGCAGAGAATGACTGGGCAGTGATAACTGCTGCCCTCCCCCCAAGTCAGTAACATCCCTGCCTACTATGTATGTGGCACACCTCTTCAGCAGCCTGAAGGTCATCTTCATCACAAGGCTCAGCTTTTCCTGCTGCTGCAAGCCCTGGAGGTAGCGCCACTTTTTTATCTTCAGCCTTTTAAAGAAAAAATAAGAAAATATTCTATCTAGTTCCAGTATTCTAAACTATTAAGAAATACAGCAAGGATAAAATTGGAACATAGCTGCTCTGTTGTTATGAAAACATTTCAGCTACTGGAACAACCTCACACTCCAGTTCATGCCAACTGAAACGTAACCCTCACTGATTTCACAAGTACTTCAACTGTTCAAGGCAGTGGCTTCCTATGGACACATCTGGGGCAAAGATTCCCTTATTCCACAGCCTTCTGATAACTACCAACCTCACAAGACAACGAGCTACCCCAGAATATGATGTCTGCTCTATAGTAGAAAGCTGAAAATTTTGTTACATAAATAATCATTTTTTTATAAATTAATATTGGGGTAACAAACATGCAACATAAAAAAGTGTAAAATTGCCTAGTTCATTCAGAAGAATTTGTACCACCAATGAGAACTGGTGACAGAAAGACTCGATTTCTAGGTGACTCTACTGCACCACTAACTTGTTTAATCTTCCACTTCTGCCCTACTGGAGGCTCAATCCACACAACAAACATGAGGTCCGTCTAATAGGCAGTATTTCAGAGCCAGTAATATTTTCAAAGAAACAAGATGAACTCTATAAACATGACTGCAGTCTGGCAGTTACTTTGAGGGAGAAAGAGGTATGCCTAGATTGGGAAACATCTCCATTTATAAAATTTGAATGCTACATTTGTATGAGCGATAATGAGATAACGAAGACGGGCAACCTTCATATACTTAATATATTGCTGGGTCCATGACATGCTTAATGCATTTCTTCATTATCTCTGCCTCTAATAAAAGCTTGTAGCCAAAGCAATATCTGCACTGAAATAATAAAACTGCAAATACTCTGACAAGGACATTTTACGATTCCACAATCATCAAAAGCACAGCAAGGATGCTACTTTTCAAGAGGCACTATGATTTATTTATGACATGGTATCATGTTTCTATCACATTAAATAACTTGTTATGTAATAAATCCCTACAAAATTTCTTACCAAGTTGAATGTTCTTTAACAAAAAACCAAAAACAAACCGAACCAAAAACTCTTTAATGATTACATCATGGAACACTTAGTTAAAAGACAGTCATTAAACAGACAGGATATGTCCTCACTTTAAAAACCAAACCAAACACCCAAACCCCATTTCTTCTAAGCGAAAAATGTTTGCAAAATGTGGTGTTTGAGTACAGATAAAGGAAACCCTTTAAAAAAGGAGACAGTAATCAACTGCATCTTTCATGGCATGCAGATTTTTAGCTCCAGTTAGCCATTTTAAGAGAGAGCAATAACAGAAGTAACAGTTGTTTATTCTGTTGTATTCCTTTAAGATCTTACAGTAACTGTCACTTCAATGAAAACAATGCAATTCTTCCCACAATCTGAGTATTAAAAATCAGTATATTTTTTACCTGTTCTGTTTTTCCAGCTTGTCTGCTAAATCCGTATCTCCTAAAAGAACAACAGTAACATTAAAGAAATACATTGTTGTTTACAATTTTCACAAATACATTAAGTTTCTACCAGTTTTCAACATAAGAAATGCACTAAAAAGTGAATGGTTTAACAAAACCAACAGCCAGGTTCAGGTTAGTTTTGGAATGCTTCAGATAAATATGCTGCAGTACCTGCTTCTTCAGTTTACAGAACAATTTCAGCTCCATCTACTCCTTCCATCATGATTTGCAAATCCAGACTGTTCACAAAATATTGTCATGTAAAGCTCATGAAAGGAAAAAGCAATGCCCTCCTTCCATTTGGAAGTTAACCCTGGGCTATTAGCTGTATATTACTGAATTCTGGAAAGGCCTCAGGAAATCATCAGTGCAATCTCTACTCCAAAAAATCCGTTCATGCTTGTGTGCTTTGACGAATCTGCAATTTCCTTCTGAAGTATGGCATTCAAAACTGTACAATTATACGCAAATAAACTTTTTTCATCTGTTTTTTTTTGAGGGAGAAGAAAAATTGACATTTGAGTTATGTTGTTATTTTGGAAATACTATCTTAAAGAAAAAAAAACAGGTAGAAAGAAATTTTAAATACAACCAAGGAATCATCTTCAGTGTAACGAAGCACTCAACCCAGCACGTACACAGATATGAAAAGAAGAGATGCTCCTGATGGACTAACTTACAGCTACAACTGCTTAATTCCTTAACTCCCACAGAAGCAGGACTATTTATAATCCTTTTATGGCTAAAAGTTAAAAGTGATTCTCAACAGCAGTATCAATTGTCACCAGTTCTCCATTTATCCAATACTTATACTCAATGGGTAAATTCAGTCATATTTTACTACAGCGTAACTCCCAAGTTGTCAAGAGTTCCTCAACATTAAGTTCTCCTGCATTTTACCACGTAGCGGTGTAAGGAACGTGGCAGAGCACCACCCTCTCACAGACTATGCATAGAGCTGTATTAGCACAGAAGCACTGGTGAGTAGTATCACCATCAGTGTGTACCTGTTCTCGCTTTTTGTTGGAGCACGATTTTATGTTCACACAGATAACTGCATCCAAGAAATGAACTGCACCAGAACAGCAAGAACAAAAAACTTAACCATCAGTTATATCAACAGGGAACCCGGCTTAACATTCCATATCTGTTACAGCAACTGACTTTGTACTTTGCTCAAGACTGATAACATGCAGAGATGGGGCAACGAAAGCCCTTAGCTAAAACAGACTATGCAACCGGGTGGAAAGATGCTCGCCGACATCTCTCCACACTCAAGCCACTCTAGCCACCATTCAAGCTCATCTGTGATAAACTCTAAGCTGGAGGCCACAGGATCAAAAACCAACTTAGAATATGGCACTATCACTGGCTGTATCTGAATAATGCTGCATTTGGTGTTGGGACATTGCAAGACCCTATAGTACTTGCTGGACTGAGAAAATTAACTTCCATGATTAGTGTGCTCTGAAAAGAGCCATTTTTACGATAAACAAGGGGCATTTAGGAGAACAAAAAATCCTCTACTCATGATTTTCTATCACTGCCATCTACATGCAGTAAAAGAATGAAAGGTTCACTTTATCTATTTGAATCCTAAAAATATTCAACAGTACCCCTAAATCTACAAAAAATTTACTATTCGCCTTTTTCAGCAGTGTTCTAGTTCCCCTAACAGTGCTGAAGAGTGGGCAGTAATCCCTACTGCTCCCACAGATTTCTGTATGTATCTTGGAGTTCTTGAACTCTTGTTAGTTTATACCTAGGCTCACAGTAGACATAGTATCACCTGCCTTAAGGGTTTCCTTCTCTACCAAAACACATGAAGCAGGTATTTGTCTGTCTCACTAACATCATTTTCTCTGATGTTCTTCATTTTTGCACGATATCAAAAATAGTTTTCTGGTAAGAGTTTTATGCTTTGAGAATTCATTAACAAATCATTACCAGAATACATTCAAATCCTGCTACTATCCTAATTTTCTCCCACTTCATCCAATTCATGTTAAGCTCTTCATATCAAATAGCTAAATAATTAACTGTATTTGTCTTTTAGTAACTACTGTCCTTCCTTCATATCACCAGTTTAAATAAATGCCCTTGAACACCTCTTCTCCTGTTGTTCTTCTGCTAGGGCTCTGCAATACCATCAAGATCACTTCAACAAATACTGTCTTGAAGAGTTATTTTCCTTCCCAAAAGCTCACAAATTCTTGGTCATCCCTCTTATTAATCCCAGACCACTCCTCATATCTACATACTGATGCACACTATACAATAGAAGAGCAGTTCCCTTGTATCTCCAATGTCTCCTACTTTTCTATTAGTATTTCCTTTTTCTGTACTTAAACTTTCTCCACCATCCACTTTCATTGTTTTTTATATCAAAGATCTATCTGTTTTCCAGCAGAAACAAGCTTTACTTAGGTCTTAACTGTTCCACAGTACCTAAAGCTAAAAATTTGTGAGGATTTATAAAAAACACCTTCTATTTATTTCAATTTTCAAGCTGTACAGTGATTTCAAGTTTTGCCTTTTTTTTAAAAAAAAAACCCTAAAATTACTCTAGAAAAATCATACACAAAAAATCCCTTAAACTGCATAAACTATTTTATACTCCTTTTGTTTATTAGGAGACGTCTGTTAACACCAATATGCAGTAATGACACTGAAACTGTACATGAAACTATAAATAAACAGAACAGGAGTACATCAGGGCTTTGTTTTTTCCCAACCAGCTCTTTAGATTCCTGTTGGGAGTACTGATGAAGTATCAATGACCTGATCTAAATCTAAAGATTTCAGCATGCATGTCTTCCGCTGAAGAGCCAGAGAAGAAATCCACATGCCAAATATAGAATAATTTTCATTGGGGAGGGAGGAATTGGACTCCAAAATGGATGAGGTAGATCAAGCCTAACTCCTCGCTAGCATTAAAAAAATAGTAAAACCTATTCAAGATGACAGACCACAGAATTTGTGAATGCTGTGTTAACAAAATTAGCTGTTTAACATATACAAACATATATATTAATATATAGAAGAGGCACTGTATTTCCTTGTAGCTCTTGGTGTTTTGAACAGATTAAGCTCATTAGAGCAGTTAGTCATCTCAGGCTTTTAAATCAGCTTGCTATACTTCAGATAACTGCACTGAACTCCACTGGTGGTGGAAGGAATGGAAAAGTTCTACAGTTAACCATTTCTATATAAAGCTTATGCTAGGTGTAACAGGTCTGCGTGGCAAGGTTTTGGCAGCGGGGAGGTTACAGGGGTGGCTTCTGTACGCAGCTGCTAGAAGTTTTCCCTATGTCAGATGCAGCCAATATCAGCCGGCTTTAAGACGGACCCTCTGCTGGCTGAGGCCGAGCCAATCAGCGACAGTGTTTTTCGCCTCTGTGATAACATATTTAAGAAAGTGAAAAAAGTTGTTGCGCAGCAGTAATTTCAGCGAGTGAGAGGAGTGAGAATATGTGAGAGAAACATCCTACAGACACCAAGGTCAGTGAAGAAGGAGG